AAATAATTTAAATTAAGAGAAACTAATAATTACTATCATTTCAACATTTTTTACATATATTTATAATAGAATGCATAAAATATGATTACAGTTTTCTTAACACCAGTATATATATATTATATTTTTATATAAAAAAAAAAATTATCCGATAGGATAATAAGTACTATATATATATATATATCAATTATATTAAGAATATGATATATTATTATTTATATATAACTTTTTAACACTTTATATAATTATTTTCTTGAATTTATATAGCTTCCATTACCATATCATTTTATCTATTATTATTTTTTCAATAACTGTTTAAATATAAATTACATCATACGTACGGACATATTTGTTTGTCTAAGTGTGAGGAGTTGTGTTTCCAAGTTTCTATGGCAGGGATGAACAACATATGATTTTGGGGCAGAAGTCTGATGAGTCCTGCGAATATGGACAAACAAGTGAATTGCGTAAATATTTTTTATTTATAAAAAAATTGTTTGAAAGATCACTTTTACAATGCAATTACGACACAATCACAAGTAAAAAAAGTTATGTAATGACTATAAAATGTAAGGCTAAATCAATTAATTTGATTTTTATGGTCAATTTTATATATAGACAATACATTTTCCTTGGACGACCAGTTTTATTGGTTTATTTTTAGGGATGTGTAAATTTAGCTAAGACCAAAAAAATTATTTATAAATAAACAAAAAAAAATTTACTGCATTAAAAACTATAAATATTATAAATATTATTTTTATTACTCAAAAAAATAAATTGTTCAAGAAAATAATGAATCATCTAAATGTTTTCATCTTAGCTATTGGCATATATTTTAGTTTGAATAAAGCAACAAAATGCGACAATTTCACGATAGGATTTAAAAACAAACTAAGTCATGATATGCGATTAGGAATCTGGTGCAACAATTATCGATTCGGAATCAACGCACCACCCATTTTGATTGCCGGTGATCCACCAAGTTATTACACTATCCAACAAGACTCCAATATGTCCATTATATTAACATGTGTATATTATGAAGGAACCAGCTGTAAGACCTGTAAATATATGTATAGCTTAAGATGATGATGGAATTTACAGTACACAACCATTACAAAAAATTGGTGAATGGACTCAATTTCCCCCTAAACAAAGCATCAACTGAACGACATAAAAGAAAAAGGGATTTTTTTTTTTTGTGTGTTTTACAAACACCATATTTAGTGGTATACTGTTCATAATATTAAACATCAAAATATATTTTTGACATTTTATTACGTAATAAAATAAGTCGTTGTTAATTAGTTATATATAATTTGTAACTAAAAAAATAAGCATGCAATAAATACTTTTGTAATTTTTAATATAAAATTTTCAGACTATTATTGGAGAATGGATGAGGAAAGACTTGTTGTGGCATTTCTAAGTAGTTTTACATATTTTGTTTTGTTTTGTGTTTTACATGTTTTTTGTATAGTTAAAATTGAATTAATTTTCTTATGTTATTAGAGGCTCAAAGATGGTGATGACTAAGTAAGATCAATAAAGAAGTATGATGATGACTAAGTAAATGTTAAAGAAAAAATCTAAGTAAGAAGTTTACTTCAGAAGTCTATGTAAGAAATATATTATGTAATATAAATCTATTGAGATAAACCGTATGTTATGTAATATAAATATATTTGTGAAGTCTACTAAAGAAGTTTAACCGAGAAGTCTACATATGATATCTGACAAAGAAGTCTGCATATGAAATCTGACACTGAAGTCACTTTTTCAGAATACATAAACACACATAATTTAAGAATATGATAAATAACATTCAATGCAATCCAACATTACATATAAAGTATGCCTTTTAAACAAACAAAAATTTAAGGGTCACTGATTATAAATTTTAAAATTGGTATATAAAAACAAAATGTCTGAAATAGATGTATGTGACTGAAGTCTGCTCGATAAGTCTATTGGAGAAGTTTGCGGTTCAAGAAGTCCGCGTCTGAAGTCTTCTTCCAACAAAACCAAAAGAGAAATAAATATGCTCAGATCTGCAAAATAAGAAGAAAAAAAATGAAAATATGCTATATTTACAAACATATTACCAACAAAAAAAAAATCAGCTTTGCAACAAAAAAAAATTACAGATCTGCAACAAAATAAATAAAATTCAGATCTGCAATAAAATAAACAAAATTCATAGCTACAAAAAAAAAAATTCAGATCTACAAAAAAATATTCAGATATGCAATGAAATCTACAAAATTTATACAACAATAAGTGTTCTTAGGATAAAGAAATATGGTAAGATTTATTTTGGTTTAATTAGCAGTATGTCAAGGAAAAATGTAGAAGGTGTTATTGGTTATTGTATTTTAATGGATTTGAGAATCCAAACCAAATTTAGTGTTATTGGTTCTTGTATTTTAAAATCTATATTGAAATACAGTGTTATTAGTTCTATGATTTTAAAATTCATAATGAAATACATTGAGTTTTAATTGAATTTGAATAGATTTGGAAGGATTTTCATGACTAAAATACAAAGACCCAAATACAAGGTCTAACCTTGGTATTTGAGTGGATTTGATTATTTTTTTTTCATTTTGCTGATTTTGAAATCAATAAATTTATCAAATCCAAAGAAGATTTATAAATCCACCAAAATACAAGAACCAATAACACCTCTGTATAGTTAAAATATATATATTGACAAGATTATATTATGTAAAAAGAAAAGAAAATATTATATAGATAATATTCTTAACATATTATAAGAATTTAATTATAATTTAATATAACTTTTATATTTGGAATTATATCGATATATATAAAGTAATTTTTTCTCTCTTCTGCTACTGCCACTTCAGCAATCCTTTCATTAATTATTTTTTATTTAAATTCTTTTAAAACAAAAAAATAACATTAACATTTAATATAAGAAAATAGTAAATATTCAAAGGTAATTATAATACACAAAATATTAATATTCCATATAAAATTACAAAAATAAATAGACAATTATAATATGTTGTCAGAAAATAAAATAAATTAAAACTAAAAAATAATTACATATATTAACTCTAAGTATTTTAATATTCAAAGCTGTTTCTGCAAGTGTACTATGTAATTGGTAATTAAAAACACAGAAAACAATACAAATTAACATTAACATTCAATATAAAAAATAACAAACATAAAAACATAATTATAATGTATTGTCAGATAATAAAAACCAACCAAATACAAAATAACAAAATAAAAAAAATAATGATATACATTAGCTCTAAGTATTTTATGATTGAAAATAAAACTTTACGAGTGTGTGACTGAAATTGGTAACTAAAAAGACAGAAAATAATAAAAAATAATATTAAAATTCAATATAAAAAATAGCAAACATATAAAATAAGTTTTTCTATCTTTTGGTGCTGCCACATCAACAACCACTTCATTAATTAATTTTGTTTAATTTCTTTTAAAATGCAAAATAACTTAACATTCAATATAAAAAGAGCAAAATATTTATAATACACAAAATATTAGCATTCAATATAAAAAAACAATTATAATATGTTGTCATAAAATAAAAGAAAATAACACAAAATAAAAAATAATTATATACATTAGCTCTGAGTATTTCAAGATTTACTGTGGAAATTTACGAGTGTGAGATGAGAATTGATAAAAAAAAAATGGAAAATAATAAAAGTTAACATTAACATTCAATATAAAAAATGACAAACATATAACGATAATTGTAATGTGTTATCAAAAAATAAAAATCAACAAAATACAAAATAACAAAACAAAAAATAAGATATACAATAGCTCTGAGTATCTCATGATTCAAAATGGGAATTTACAAGTGTGTGACGGGAATTTGTAATTAAAAAAAATATTAACATTCAATATAAAAATAGCAAACATAAAAACACAATTACAATGTGTTGTCAGAAAATAAAAAAAAATCAACAAAGTACTATAAAAAAATAATGATATACATTAGCTATGAGTAAATCAAAATTCAAGGCGGAAATTTACGAGTATGTAACGGGAATTGGTTATTAGAAAGACGAAAAATATTAAATTTGCTGTGTTGGGTAGATCACAAACTAGAGTTTCAAAAAATGAAATATTCGAGTCATGTACATGTGAGAAATAGAAATTCATCTTAAAATTTTTAAGAATATACGATACAACAAGTATAGTACCAAAACATGTATAAAAATAATTCACATAGCCGCGCGTAGCGCGGATCACCAACTAGTATTACTATAAACACTAGGAAAAATAAAAAGTTTTTAAAAAACACAAAACGATATGAAATGCTTGTGTGATTGTTGTTGAATACTAAAATTGTGTATGTATAAAAACATAACATTTATATAATATATTAAAATATTAATTAATACTTAAATATTACAACTAATTATGTTTATACAAAATTATACTTGCACATACATGCAGATAAAAAAAAAAATTAATTATTATATATTTTTATAGTTTCCTGTTTATTTAGTTACTATATTTATATTTTTATTCAAAGAAATATTTTAAAATCTTGGTTAATATTTTTATCTTCTTTTTCTATTGATGCATATAATATTTATATTCAATTTATTATTATTTTTATTATCAAATGTTTATTATTTTATTATTAATACTTAATCAATCATATACAAATAGAAAATTTCAATACTATATTAATCATAATTGAACATATAAAATATTTTATAAACTGCATACAAGACATACCGATTACCTAGTAAATATAGTATGAAAGCTTCAACATAATAATCCCACTTTAAATATTTACAAGAAATAAGATTATTTTTTTTTTTTTTTGAAACTATAAGATTATTCTTTATTGAAATTTTTTAAGTTATTAGGTTTTAGGATTATCGGTTACTCAACGTCCTCCACAAAATTCGGCGAGAAAAAGACCAAAACCAAAAATCTCGGAGTGGGCCAGTTTCGTAATTGTCATAAGAATCCATGTCCATTTTACTCAGCTCAGGAAATAAAAATTTCAAAAATCAGAACCATTTTTTTTAATATAAAAAAAAATCAAATAATTTGATCTTCTTTCCGTAGTTTGCAGACAACGGAGCTGCTTACGTGGTCTCTCATTTCTATACTATTCTCAAGCACCACAGCTCAAGCAAATCGATCTAGGGTTCTTCTTCTCCTCCCTCTTTTTAATCCATAATCGTTTTCTTTTCGTACGTTTTAGATCGAAATTCGTTGTTTGTTTGTTTTAGATTCGGCGAGAGAGATGGGGAAAGTGGCTGTTGGTGCGACGGTTGTGTGCGCTGCGGCGGTTTGTGCGGCGGCGGTATTTATTGTGCGGCGGCGAATGCAGAGCTCTGGAAAATGGGCGCGTGTGATTGAGATCCTGAAGGTACTCGAGGAGGATTGCGCCACGCCGATCGCGAAACTGAGACAGGTGGCTGATGCTATGACCGTCGAGATGCACGCCGGTCTCGCGTCGGAAGGTGGAAGCAAGCTTAAGATGCTTATTAGCTACGTCGATAATCTCCCTTCTGGGTAATTTTTCTTAATCCTGATTGAGAGAATTGGATTGGAAAAAAAAAAAAAGATAAAATTTGCGATTTTTGTGGAACTTTATCTGAATTTTACTTGGCTGGTCAGATTCATTATCTGATTTAGATAAATCGTTGCCACGTTTATTCAATTTGTTGGATAATCTTATGAGTATAAAGTTTCATGCTTTATGAGATTTTCATTTGTTTGATTGCGATTAAAAGTAATTGAATCCGTGAAGTTAGATGTGTATATATATTGTATGAAACTACTGGAATCCATTCCCGTTAATTTGTAACATTGTTCTTGATGCCTTTTTCATGGATCTTAGAGAGTTTTGTTATACCTTTTTATGTGCTTTTATTTTGTATTCTCTTGGCCTTGTTCCTAGGTTTCTGTTTCAATGGCACTTGTTTGTTTTGGGGCTCTGATTCTGCTGACACAGTAAAACTTGCGCTGTAAGCGAATCTAAGCTCCACCATCAATTTTACAGGGACGAGCATGGTTTCTTTTATGCACTGGACCTAGGCGGAACAAACTTCCGTGTCATGCGTGTGCTTCTTGGTGGGAAACAAGACCGTGTTGTCAAACAAGAGTTCGAGGAAGTCTCAATTCCTCCTCATTTGATGACAGGCGGTTCAGATGTCAGTTTCCTGACCAGAGTTTGTTCCTCTGCTTTATGTTTCATTCATGTCTCTGATTGATTCTGCTAACTGTGGAGACAGGAGTTATTCAATTTTATCGCTGAAGCGCTTGCAAAGTTCGTGGCTACAGAAGGCGAGGACTTTCATCTCCCAGCGGGTAGACAAAGGGAACTAGGTTTCACTTTCTCGTTTCCGGTTAGGCAGACATCTTTGTCCTCTGGCACTCTCATCAAGTGGACCAAAGGCTTCTCCATTGAAGATACAGTTGAGCTTTATTACCCTTTCAAATTTTTTTATTACAATACGATACTACTCTTTCTCAACGACGATTGTGTAGGTTGGACAAGATGTTGTCGGAGAGCTTATTAAAGCCATGGAAAGAGTTGGGCTTGACATGAATGTCACAGCGCTTGTGAGTTTTTCCTCTTACACGACAGAAGAAAAGTTGTCTTTTTTTTTTTTTCCATTTGTTAATCACTTGTAAAAAAATTCCACAGGTTAATGATACCGTTGGAACACTCGCTGGTGGTAGATACTATAACCCGGATGTTGTAGCCGCCGTTATTCTAGGCACCGGCACAAATGCAGCTTATGTCGAACGTGCACATGCAATTCCCAAGTGGCATGGTTTGCTTCCCAAATCAGGAGAAATGGTTTGTGTTTTCTTCTTCCTTCTTGGCAACAACGGTAGCAACCTCACCTGAGCTTTTCAACTACTTGTATGTACCGCGATGTAGGTGATCAACATGGAGTGGGGGAACTTCAGGTCGTCGCATCTTCCATTGACGGAGTACGACCACTCGCTAGACTTCGAGAGTCTGAATCCAGGTGAACAGGTATGAGCTCTGAAAATTCTGCTGGCTTTTTAGAGAAGCAGGAGCCTTAGCTCACTAAGGCTTTGCTTCTCGCAGATTCTTGAGAAAATCATTTCCGGCATGTACTTGGGGGAAATCCTGCGTAGGGTTCTTCTAAAAATGGCTGAAGAGGCTGCTTTCTTTGGCGACTCCGTCCCACCTAAGCTCAGAATACCATTCATCATAAGGTTTGTTTTAACTTCTTTCTACACAGTGTGAATTGTTTACATGCGTTCCAATCACGAGTCTGGTGATCACTTTGTGGCTATGCAGGACCCCGAACATGTCCGCTATGCACAGCGACACTTCTCCGGATTTGAAGGTCGTGGGAAGCAAGTTGAAGGACATATTGGAGGTTAGATTCTCCCTCCTGTGCATAACGATTCACACTAGAATTATAAAATGAAGTCTCAAAGTGGAAGTTTCTTTGATGATCTCCCAGGTCCCTACTACTTCTCTGAAGATGAGAAAAGTTGTGATCAGTCTCTGTAACATCATCGCGAGCCGAGGAGCTCGTCTATCAGCTGCTGGGATCTATGGGATCCTCAAGAAACTAGGAAGAGACACACCGAAAGATGGAGAAACTCAGAAATCTGTGATTGCCATGGACGGTGGGCTGTTCGAGCACTACACTCAGTTCAGTGAGTGTATGGAGAGCTCGTTGAAAGAGTTGCTCGGAGATGAAGCATCAGAGAGCGTCGAGGTGATTCATTCGAATGACGGGTCGGGTGTTGGAGCCGCGCTACTCGCTGCCTCGCACTCTCAGTACCTTGAGGACTCTGAAACAAGTGAACTTTAAAGCAAAAAAAAGGTTTCAACTTTCATGGCTCCAAAGCATTGGATAAAGGTAAGACCTTTGTGTTTATGTTATCAAGAACTCTTTGTTTGCCTTTAGGGTTCAAACAAATAAAAGAGAAGAAGGTAAAGCCCTTTGCGGAATTTTTTTCTTTCTGGTTTATCAATGTTCGGGAACAATATAATAAACCCTGGATTCTTCTTCAGGCTCTGGCAAAATTCAAAAACCAGCCAATGTTGTAGAACTATATATTTCGAGTTCTATATAATCATATTCATTTTTTTTTTGTATCGTGGGCGATGAAAAATATCATATTTTTTCCGGATCATAAAGCAGATATTGTAGTTGTAAATTTCCGGCGAAATCCATGTGTTTAACAATCAGTGGCATTGAGTATGAGAGAATCACTGATCAAAGAACAATTTCAAAAATTTAACAAATCCCCAAAATGATCCAAAACCTGATTTGAGCAATGGTAATTTTGCGTTGTCGGGGAACGACGACGTTTTGCGCTGACCTTGGTTCGCTTCTTAACTCTCTTCTTATCTTCCTTTGGTGCCTTTAGCTTCCTCTTTCTCAGGTCATCTCCCTTAAACCCTAAAACTTTGATAGTAGAGATTTGGTTTCTCAATGGGAGAATCTCTAGTTTTCGTTTTTTGAGAAATGTTTCTCTCTGCAAAAAATCTAAACCCAGAATAAAAATTTTTGATTTTTCTCTTCTGCTCAGCCCAAAAAAAAAAATGTATTGCAATTTAACAAGAACCCAAGGATTCCCAATGGCGATTAGGGTTTCGTTACAGTTCACGAAGTTTTCGAATTTACCAGTTAAGTTTTACGTAAACCCAAGAGGAAGCGCCTTTGCAGATGTTTCGACTTGTTTTAGCTGCGGCGGTAAGAGCCAAAGGAGTCTTTTTGTTAGTTCTCGCCTTAAATCTATAGAGACTGGAGCGTTAGGGAAGCTTGATAGTGTTAGAGACTTTTCGAGCTTTGATTCTCAGAGATTTGGCAAACGAAGTAGTAATAGTGGTAGAGGGAAACCTAGATTAGGATTGAAAGCTTTCACGGAGAAGAGAAATGGCGGAAATGGCCGTGGAGATTCGATTTGGGTGAAATCTGATGAGAAACAAGTGGAAGGGAGAACTCAGAATCGTTCATCTTGGGATAAACGAGATGGTAGAGCTCGAAACGATTCGGTTTCTGCTGATAGGAGCAGTAGATACAGAGGTCAAGGCGAAACGAGAAATCGAGATTCTTTTCGTGTCAAAGCAGAAGAGGAAAGCGAGAAAGCTAGTGGAAATTCGATTTGGGTTGCTAATGATAAACCAGCAAAAGAGCAACTGCCGAGAGCTAACAGGTCATCTTGGGATAAGCAAGATGGTAGAAGGAGAAATCAAAACTCTGAAGCAGAAGACGAAACAGTCCCTGAAGTTGATGATGATGATGATGATAGTATCGCTGAAGAAGGGGAAACAGAGCAGATTGAAGAAGAGCCAAATGATAGCAGGTGGCCCGAGATCAGAGATAGGTTCAATAGATATGATGTAAGAAGAGAGCAAGGGCGTGACAATGCAGCATATCGAAGCTGGAGCAGGCAAGAGAATTGGGGTAGGAAAACGTGGCAAGAGGCGACCGAGTCAAGCGTGCCTAGGATGGTTGGTGAAGTGGTTTATGGAGTGAGTCCGGTGTTAGCCGCACTCTCTGTTGGGAGACGAGAGTTGTACGCTTTGTATGTTCAAGAAGGTTTGGATCTGAGCAGTAACAACAGGAAGAAGAAAGACAAGAAATGTTTCGAGAAAGTCTTGAAAATCTCTGAAAGACTCGGGTTAGACATCAGGGAGACTTCGAAGCATGATCTCAACATGGTTGCCGATAACAGACCTCATCAAGGGCTGGTTCTTGACGCTTCTCCATTGGAACTGGTGAAAGTGAAAGAGCTAGACCCGGTTCCACCAGAGGAAGAGAAATCCTCTCTTTGGGTAGCTCTCGATGAGGTCACTGATCCGCAGAACTTAGGAGCGATCATAAGATCCGCTTACTTCTTCGGAGCCACGGGTATTGTGGTGTGCGCGAAAAACTCAGCTCCTCTAAGCGCGGTTGTGAGTAAAGCAAGCGCCGGCTCGCTCGAAGTAATGGAACTTAGATACTGCAAGAACATGATGCAGTTCTTGGAAGCTTCTGCTGAGAACGGTTGGCGTGTGGTTGGTGGTTCGGTTTCTCCAAAGGCTGTTGCTTTGCAAGAGGTTTTACCCGGTGGCCCGACGATTCTCGTCTTGGGGAATGAAGGAACTGGTTTAAGGCCATTGGTAGAGAGATCATGTACTGAGTTAGTTCGGATTAGCGGTAACATGCCTAGTGACGTTGGGGTTACAGAGTGTGATGATGGATGCAGATCTTTTGTTGCTGTGGAGAGCTTGAACGTGAGTGTTGCAGCTGGTTTGTTTCTTCACCACTTGATAGGCAGCAACAGAGCAAGTGTTTGATTCCGCAGGTGAGTTTCTTCTTTTAAACAGTTTCATCTTTGTACCAAACTTGGGATCTGCTCTGTACTTGAACTTACTAAATTTGGTTGCTATAGATTGTTTTACCCATCATTTCCCTGATCTCTCTCTGCTCTTAAAAAGTAGAGTTATCCGATGTTCTAATGTTGTATTCAGTGAAGGGAGAGACATTAAACAAATCTTATATGGTTATGGTTTGTTTATGTTTGCACTTGGTGTGATTTCTCTGCAATGAGCTTACAATCGTTAGTATTTTTAACAATTTTTTTTTGTTGTGTTAATTGTAAACACAATACCAAACGCTAATTTGTTTTGCCCCTTGAATCTTTATCTGTAAATTTGTTTTGAAAACTATGCAAAAGAATGATGTTTCAGACATGCTTGAATTAAAAATATGTTTTCTTTTGTCACCTTAACATAGTTTGTGTCATAATCCATTGAAGTCAAGATCTTGGGATATGGTTTATTTCTTGTGTACACGCAAATCTTAACGTACATAAGCATATTTTGATTTGATTCGAAGAACACATAGGAAGCGAACAAAATCATTTATTTATAGTCACGAAGAATATACCCACATAAGTATTAGGAGATCAATGATTAGGTCATAGGAGTTGTAAATTATATAAAATAAAATATGTGGAAAGAAATTGTGTTATATAAGGTTTTAATATTTTTTTAAAAAAGAAAACACATGTATCTAAGCTGTCACTCTCTGTTCGAAAAGGACATGGTCCCTCTCTCCTTCAGATTCGGCATAACATTCTGGCATCTTTGCCGCCAAATTTACTTCTTATTAAATTAACAATTATTCTCTATCGAATAAGAATAAATCCTTCACGTGAAAGTAGATTAAACGTCAAGGTTACTAACCAGAACTAATTGTTGCGTTTAGTGCGGTCTATGCCTAAATAAGCGCTATACTTAGTTATATGACTTATAACCATAATTTTCTAATTATGTGTTTAGTGTGGTGCCAAAAGTTTGGAGGTAGAAGGTGTGTGTTTTGTTGTTATCATTTAAATCTTAATTTTACTCGACAATTTAGAACAATCAAAACATATTTTGATTTAAACTAGTAGGGTCAATTACATTTATATATTATATTTTTTCAAAAAAGAAAGTGAATTGTACACTAAAATATCTTAAAGGCGACATATATAATGTGATGCGGTCAAGAAAAATGCAACGCAAAAATGTCACCAAATCATACTATATAACTTTTAATTCTAATTTCACCTTAGAAAAACATATGTATGTATATATTCGTCAAATTTATAAACAAAACTTTTAATTCCCAGCTTAAGGAATACTAGATTTTGGACCCGCGTTTAACACAGATTTGATGAGTTAATAATATTTTTGACTCTTATATTATATATTTACATAGTAAAAATAAAAGAAATTGAGTCAGATATTTTAATTAATTTATTATCCAATTTCTATATATTAGCCCAGCAAAAAATAAAACTTGTATACATTTCTGACACATTTTATTAGTTATTATTAACAATAACTTCATTGCTTCTTTTTACAAATTTACAATAATTTTTAACTATTTATAACCAAAATTTTGTATATAGCAAGTTTTGTTTTAAAAATATTTTGACTTATTATTATTTTTTTTAAACTTATTAATAATATTATGGACTAGTGTTTTATTTTGAAACTCAGAATAAAATTTTGTATCTAACATTTTAGCATATTCTAGAATGTATATACATCAGAAAATTATATATAACCAATTTAAGATTTATGTGAGAAATAAGACCATTATTCTTTTTTAAAATCATTTATAATCACATATTTTACTAAAATATTATATATTATTTTCTAAAATCATGTGATTTCTAAAATTTCGTTTATACAGAATATTACATATATTTTGTATCTATGAAATTTTGTAACATATTTCTTAAAATCTTATTTTTTATGAATATTTTTTAAAAAAATTTCTTATAAGATTGAAACCTAAAATTAGTAAATCAATACAATTCTTTAAAAATTTTAAAGTTCATTAATACATTATAATGAAACCCAATATAAACCCACATCATTTTATATATTTGTAATTAGATGATATTACTCATAATGAATTAATAAAATAGTTTAGCAAATGTAATGATATACAATTTAGTAAATACTATAGTAAGTTTTGGACATTTTAAAATAGTGTTTCTCTTTTAATAGTATAGATATATATAATCTTTTATAGAAAGCCAATTTTGAAAATTTTAATTCTATTGGAATGTAGCACTTGCACATTAAAAGAGGCATTACAATACTATGAAAGACTATTTCATTTATACTTTTTTGTTTGTTTGAACTATCATAACTCTTCTTTTATAGAATGCGTCTTACGCGGATTATACAAATTGTTGACACAGTGAGATTTTAAAAAATGCACATCATTTGTTGATAAAACGCGTTAAATATAGAGATAATTTGTTCCTTATTTACCGTATTAAGGGTGCTAAATCGTAATTGTTTATACTAAAGTATTTTATTTGACAAGAAGTAAAAAAAAATTAATAAAAATAGTAAATTTGGATTTTGGGATTAAAAAAAGGAAGAAAATGGAGTGTACATGATTGAATGGTGAATTGTGTGATTCCTTTCGAAGTATAAAGTTGTATAAGTCTCTCTCTGGATTTTCGCTGCTCCGTCAATGGCGATCTAAGAAATTTCACGACTCTAATTGGTTCAATGTGTGTGTGAGAGAGAGAGAGACGAATTACGGTCATTTCAAATCTAGGGTTTCCTCCTTTTGCTCCTCCATTATCCCGTTCCCCTGTTTTCTTCTTCTTATCCTTATTGTCGCGGGAAAAGGGGAAGAAAGAAAAATTGAGAGCCGAAGATGTCTACATTGGACTCCATCGATGCGATTCTCTTCTCTCTCAGCAGAGCCTTCTGTAGCCCTTTCGCTGTCTTCGTTCAGATCCAGGTTAGCTTCTTCCTTTTCTCCTTTTTGGCTTCAGATCGAAGTTTTGGGTCCCTTCTCTTTTGAAAACTATGGATTTTGGGTATTCATGGCCGTCTTTCAAAAATCGAGAATTTTGGGACAAGTTATGAGTTGTGTTTTTGAAAATTAATGGTTTTTTTTGGTATCACCGTGTGAAGGAAGAAGATGAATCAAACGTAAATTTCGCATCTTTAATGATTGATCGTATCAATTTTTGTTGGGGGGGGGGGGGGGGCTTAATGTCTTCTCATCAGGATAAGATTTTTTTCATGATTTTTCATTCTTCTCACTGTTTCTTCATATGCCTCAGGGATGTACGATATGCTTACTCCTTGCTCTGGGCTGGTTATTGGCTGCATATGTCAGGTAGTGCCTGGTTTTGGTTATCACAATCTGAAACGTTGTTTTTTTTTTTTTTTTAATTTCTCAATTCTGAAATGTTTGTGTTTCTCTGTTTCTACCTTTTAAGGAACCGAGAAGTTAAGAGAATTAAAAACAGCATGAAAGCGGGCAATAGCTTGGCGTTTCTCTACCAAGATATCAATGAACTCGAGCACTCTAGGCAGGTCAGACTTCCCAGAGTTTCCGTTATCATGCCTCTGAAAGGCTATGGAGAACACAATTTGCACAATTGGAACAGTCAGGTGAGTCCCTCATGTTTCAGTAATCAAATGCTAAGCCTTGTCTTGCTTCCAAACTTTGTTTGTTAATCGTGATCGGTACATTTGGTGTAGATTACTTCTCTCTATGGTGGGCCATTAGAATTCCTTTTCGTTGTAGAAAGCACTGAGGACCCTGCGTATCATGCTGTTTCCCGTCTATTGTCTTCGTATCAGGTACACACACGCTTCAACATATCTTTGTGGTCGTTTATCTTGTTACCGATGAAAGTATCTGTACTTCATATGGCCTTTTCGTCTTGAATTATGTACTGACTTCACATATCTCTCTGCTTACACGGATGCCTGGTTTTGCACAGGATAATGTTGAAGCTAAAGTTGTGGTTGCTGGTTTATCGACAACTTGCAGCCAGAAAATTCATAATCAGTTGGTATGTATGATCTGCCAATATACGTTTTGTCATTTATGCCCCTTCATTTGCCTCTTCTAAGTTTGCCTCTTTTTGGTTTCTGTTTCTTGAAGATTGGAGTCGAGAAAATGCACCAAGATACCAAATATGTATTATTTTTGGACGATGATGTTAGACTGCATCCTGGAACAATCGGAGCTCTCACGACTGAGATGGAGAAAAATCCAGAGGTGGTATCCAAATTACATACTTCTTGTCTAAATTTCTTGCGCTTTCTGTTTCTTTCTACATGTGTCGAAGACATCGGTAGAGATATAGGCCTTTGCTTAGGTTTCCTTCTGTTTTGAAAACTTTTAACGGTGATGGTGATCCCTTGCAGATATTTATTCAAACTGGGTACCCTCTAGATTTGCCATCTGGAACTCTTGGGAGTTATTGTATCTATGAGTACCACATGGTAAAGTGATATCTGTCACCCTTCTTTACTCTTCCTTCCATGTTTGAAGCATTTTGTAATTCAGCTAATATTTGGCATGTCCTCTTTGCAGCCTTGCTCAATGGGATTTGCGACTGGTGGAAGAACATTCTTTTTGTGGGGAGGGTGTATGATGGTATGTAAATAACATTCTTTTGCAGCATGTTTCTTTTGTGTTCTCTCTGCTACATCTAATTTTGGTGATTGTTTGCAACAATATCTAGATGCATGCTGATGATTTCAGAGAAGATCGATATGGTGTTGCCTCTGGCTTACGTGATGGTGGATATTCAGATGATATGACACTTGCCTCTCTCGCAGGTAACATACTTTCTTCTCCATTTTGCCTACTGTATGTGTAGTTGATTACTTTCTTCTAGTATTCACTCACCTTTTTGTTACTCCAGGTGCTCACAAGAGGCTCATTACATCTCCTCCTGTCGCTGTTTTTCCCCATCCTCTTGCAAGTGATCTAAGTTTTGGACGGTAGGTACTCGTGTTTCACTTGTTTGAACCCCCCAAAGGTACTCAACTTTTAGATGTTTAACCATTTTTCCTGGTGTTAAATAGGTACTGGAACTACTTGAGAAAGCAAACCTTTGTGCTAGAATCTTACATATCCAAAGTTAACTGGATAATGAACAAGGCTTTGTTTGCCGTCCACTGTTATCTGTCGTGGGGTTTTGTTGCACCATATGTCATGGCCGTGATTCACGTCACATCAGCTTTAAGAATCTACATCAAGGGCTATCATCAACTTGAAGACACGACCTTTGCTTCTGGTGGTGAGCATACTTTTCCTCTTATTTAGGTGGGTTATGTGTTGAAGATTAGTGAAACTTATCCTAGTGCCACGATGATTTCTCGTGTGCTTGTGGAAACATGGTGATTTTCAGCTTATAAAAAAACTGTAGGATTGTCTGCTTTTCTAAATGCTACGTACTGACCTGGAAGGATGAGGTTCTATGTAGGTATGTTGCTTGTTATAATGTTGGCGATCTGCACCTTCATCGAACTTCTTTCAATGTGGAATCTGACAAGACGAGAAGTTACGCTGTGCAATATGTTATCCCCGGAGGCTCCCCGTCTCTCTCTTGCAACTTATAACTGGGGACTTGTACGTGCTTTTTCAACCCCTCTCTATTGATTAGGTCAATGGTAAGTAAGATACACAGAGAGGGTAAAGTCTTTTCTTTTTGCAGGTCTTTATAGCAATGCTAGTGGACAACTTCCTCTACCCAATCTCAGCTTTCCGTTCTCACTTTTCTCAATCCATAAACTGGTCTGGAATTAGATACCATTTGAAAAATGGAAAGATTTTCAAGGTAAAAATGTCATCTCTGTGTCTCCTTTTAACTTAGTTTCCTCGGGTCTGGAGTTTGTGACACAAATGTAATTGTGATGTTCATTCAGATTGAGAGAAGAAAGGATATGGTACCAGCAAAGACCGATTTAGGAGGCAAACACTTGTATGGTAGGAGAGGAGCTCCTCAGAAAGCTTCCTTCTTAAGCTCATTGGGAAGAAACTTGGCTCATTGGCGACAACCGAAGAAGTTTGATGTTTGAAGAGTTCTTCGGTTTTTAATACAGTTAGAAGGCAAAAGCTCAAAAAGTCGTTTTCTTCTCCCGGGAATTCGCGGGTGAACTGATGATTCTTTGAAAATGTTTGGTGATTCTTTTTCCAGAGGGAGGGAAAATTTGATCTTGTTTTTAGTTTCTTTTCCTTTGGCTTCAACATGTTTATCAGTGAAAGAAGAAGCAAAAAGCATTTATTCTTCTTCTCCTCTGGGAAATTTTTATTTATTGATTTATTTCTGTTTTTTGTTTTTATGGGTTTACTTAGTCGTTTGGAAAGAAACATTGCTCATCCTCAGCTTTGATTTTTGTAATTTTTCTGTTTATCTATCATCTTTCTGTGTTTAGCTTTGTTGTTATGTAACATATCCATTGTTCAAAAATCCAAATTCGCATTCTGTCTTTGTTTGAGCATTAAACTTGAAACAGTTCATTATTACAGAAACCTATTTACTTAAAACCACACTTTGAGAATAGTAAAAACAGGAATTTCCAAACAAAGCAAGGCTCTCGAGACTCTGAGAGCTTGTTCTTGTTCTTGTTCTTGGTCTCAACGGTAGAGACGATAGGTGGGACTGTACATGCTACTCTCTGCACACTTGACAATCTCTTTAGGCCGTGGAAGCCGCCCCGCCACTCCTGAAAACCGCCATAACCACCGCATCAAAACTCAACTCAAAACCACAGTTTGATCCTGAACACAAAAGAGAGAGAGTAGAGAGGGAGAGACCTAGTTCATATGCCTTGGTTGCTACATTGGCTGCGATGTGAGCTGAGATTTTCCGGATGGAAGAGAAGGAAGGATATATCATTCCTTTCTCATAGTTCTCTCTGCTTACTTGTCCAGCTAATGCCTCAGCTACACATACACCAACAAAGCTTAAGAGCAGCTCTCTTTGAGATTTTCAGACATTCAGAAAATACAATACATACATACCCGCGGCTAGAAGCATATCGTCATGTACTCGTATCGCTCCAGAGATTACCAAACCAAGTCCAAATCCAGGGAATATGTACGCATTGTTCGCCTGTGTTTCAAGAAATGCAAAGAGCTTTAGTAAGTTCCTTAGTGGATAAAGAGACAACAAGTTTGTTTCTATTTACCTGTGTAGATACAAACACACTTCCTTCATACTCAACTGGATCAAACGGGCTTCCACTTGCGAATATTGCACGACCCTTTCATTCGAACAAAAGATCAGACAACCTTACTTTGTTTTTATCATATATTGAAACAATGGTGCAGTACGGAGAGACTTTACCTTACTCCAAGTGTAAGCTTCTTCAGCTGTACATTCTGATTGTGTTGTCGGGTTAGAGAGAGCCATTATCAAAGGTCTCTGCAAGAACATTTTGTGTTACTTTCTCCTCTTTTTCTTCCTTAATATGATCACTTAAAACCGAGAAATAACAAATACCTCATTAATGGAAGACATGGCTTCAATCACTTCTTTCGTAAAAGACCGTCCAATGCCAGCCGAACCAATCAGAACAGTCGGTCTTATGGCCTGTCGAGACATATAACTCATGAGGATAAACAACAGACTGAGACACAACAACAGGAAGAAAAGTTTCGCACCTTGATAGCACCTAAGAGATCTTTGACCGGTTCATGTTCATGAGCCCATGGTTTCTTGAACGCTTGAAGTGAATTTTTACGGGAGTTAACAATCAGTCCCTATCAAAAAATTTAAAACCAATCATACTTCAAAGACTATATAATTCCAATGCAATGTTTAGTTTCCTGTTTCTCTATACCTTGGAATCAACAAGCCAGATCTTCTTGCGGCTTTCGTCTACCGAAGCATTCATCTGCAGAAGATAGATGATATAAACAGAAAGCAACAAATATCTCACAAACTTCAGAAAGATTCGTTACCTGTTTCGATATATAGAGAGCTATAAGCTCTGCTATCCCTGTACCAGCCTGCAACAACAAAACAATAAGAACATTTTTGACCAAACGTTTTAAGAATCAGTCTGGTTTTCGAATACTTACTTCACCAGCACCAAGAAAGAGGAAGGTGTGATCTGCGAGTGGACTGTTCGTTAACTTCTGCGAGGACACTAATCCCGCAAGAACAACCGCTGCTGTCCCCTGAAACGGAAAGGAAAAGACAATACGTAGACAGCAAGAAACACCAAAGAAAGGGAAGTTCATGAACTCTTCTCACCTGTATATCATCGTTGAAGACAAGATGAGTGTCACGGTATTTGGCAAGCAGATCAAACGCGTTATGATTTGCGAAATCTTCAAACTGTGTCAAGCGGAAGATAACAAAGCATATACATTTTAAAAAAAAAAGCTTACACAAAATCATACTGAAGAAGAACCAGGACTTCATAATATAGTGGTACCTGTATAAGAACGTTTTCACCATAGTTCTGTTTTACAGCACTCATGAACTCATGCAAGAGTTCACTGTACTCCTGCAGTAATGTTTGTCAAACAATACTACTCAGTTTTTGAAAGTTTACAATTCCTTAGAAACAGATTATAGCTTCGTGCTCAAGGAAAAAGAGAAAAAACCTGTCCCGTTGCTCGCTTCTGTTTGAGTCCAATGTAGAACTCATCATTCAACAGTTTCTCATTGTTTGTTCCCACATCAATGGTAACAGGTAAACACTGAGAGAAGAAAAAAAAAGCAATATGTATATATAGTCTCTCACATTACTTGACTGATAAGATACTGCAAGAACCTTTAAAGCCATTACCGCAGAAGGACGAACACCTCCAAGTGCTGAATATAAAGCCAATTTACCAACCGGTATACCCATCCCCTAAAGGGAAAAACAAACTCTGTTCATGAACTTAATTCAAGATCAAATCAAAAACCCAAAAAAACAAAGAAATATTCACTTACCTGACATCCAAGATCTCCTAATCCCAAAATCCTTTCGCCGTCTGTAACAACAATCACTTGTATGTTTCTTTCAGGCCAGTTCTTTAACACATCTAGAATCTTTCCCCTGTATGAATTATAAAGTCTTAAAAGTTAAAGAGTCTGAAACAATGGAAAATCATTAGATAAAAGTTATACAATTCATACTTTTCTTTTAAACTGATGAATAAGCCCTGAGGTCGCCTGAAAATACTTCCATATTTCTGACAAGCTTCACCAACAGTTGGAGTGTAAGCAATAGGAAGAAGCTCCTCCACATTATCTATCAACAGCTTGTAAAACAGCCTCTCGTTTCTTTCCTGTTTTTGTTGTTGTTGTTGTTCTAAATTCAATTAGAGATTCATCTTTCTTTGATATGTGACTTAAGACAACAAATTTTTCAGACAGGGTTTGGATTTACCTGAAGTTCTGTCAAGGCCATGTACTTTTGTAATGGAAACTGATACTGTCTGATATTGTTCATCAACCTCTTCTCCTAATTCATCCAAGACCCGGAAACAACGTTTACAATTCTTTATTTTCTATCAATCTCCATTAAAAGGAATCATACACAATAACCATGTTTTTACCTGAAGATTCTGATCAAGAACCACTGGAGGGAGAAGGCCACGCAAGTAATGAGTGTCTCTCTCTTTCTCAGTGAAAGCAAGTCCTTTGTTGTAGCGAGGATCTCTCAGCAATGAATAACCACTGAAACAAGAAACATCAATGTTGTTTAATTCAGAAACTTAGTTCTGTGAATAATATGAAGGAGTTGTGTTGTTACCTAGAAACAGAGAGTGACCATGGTGTTATGCTGTGCTCGATGGTGGCTGAATCTTCTCCATACACATCAACAACGCCACCGTTGACGGAGGATTTCAAATCCGAGTTGGTCTCATTCTTCATCTTGAAAAGGATCAATGGCCAAGATCCAAAAACGAAAGTGAAAAGAGGAACAAAATTCTAAAAGTTGAGAAGGACCAAAAATCTGAAGAAAGTAGTACAAGGCAAGGAATATGTGGAACAAACATTCTTTATGTAGAGTAATGGAAAGAAGAAGGTTGTGGAAAATCCAAATGGAAGCTTGAGGATGCAGAGATGTGTCACACTGAAGAAGACAGCTTTGTACACCACATGGACTCAGAAGTCGCCACGTTCAATTAATTGAAATTTAAATATATGCTTATTAGTCTTAATATTTAACATGAATTTTTAATTTATTTCATAAGCAAATATGCGCACGGAATTATTTGTATACTAGAGGACAAATCTAAGATTACAACTACACCACATACCATTGGCCTATAAGTTAGGTTACTTAGATAAGATACTTGCCTAACACGCATCTTATGAGACATGAAGACAACACAAAGCAGAGCAGAGCAGGTGTGTGTTCAACCCAAAAAGTCTTTGAGCACAGAGATTGAACAGAGCATTGACTTCTTCTCCGTTTTCTCCTCTGATTTCTCAAGGAAGAATCTGCACAGGACCGGGCCTGCAACCTTCCAGACAAACCCGCAATAACGAACTTTGTTGTTTTGGATGGCAAAGTCGTAAGAAATGTTGTAAAGTGCCAAGGATTGTGCGTAGAGTTCTTCCAGGCTTCTCTTGCTGTCTCCAAACCCATAGAACTCCTGATACAGAGAATAAACCGTTCAACCGATGAGCAATTGGATCGATTCTTGTTGACTGCAGACATCCACAGGACTAATCAACAAAACATTCAGTGGTACATGATGTCTATTGCTCAGATTTTTGCACTGGGTCGAGGAGCTTACCTGCTTGTATTTCTGGATAACTTCATTTGCTGATTCATTCTTCTTGTTCTCATCGGTTTGCAGCAAAGCCTGGCTCATATCAGCACAATAGTTCTCATACCAGCATCTACATTTCTCCATGTGAAACTCAGGGACCACTTCATCTTCAAAACACTGGAGCTTCTTGATTTCTGAAGTGTAATATACATTTAAAGACGTTCTTGTGTACTTTGATTATCGACTGTAACAAAGAGATCCGTACCAGGTGGTGGAGGTTCCTCTGCGTTTACAACAATGTCATAGATTAATCCAAGAATAGAAGTTGACTTGAAACTCTTCTTATGCTTACGCTCCATGTAATGTGGGTACGTTTCCAGCTTTAAGTCTAACGGGAGATCGATCTTACCCCCATTTTCGGTGCATCAAGAGCATCATAGTATATATCAATAGCCTTCTGAAGTTTCTTCTTTCTTCCATCTATTTCATTAGCTTTCTCGTCTCCTAACGTGAGGAAACGGTCCATTAATGTTAGCCAGCTATCTGCAGCTGCCCCTACAACGTTTCTGCAAACCAAAGGCATCTTTCAACAAAAAAATCCAAAAGAATGGTCACACAAAAACAAGAATAGAAATCAAATTGTGTACCTGGAATGAAATCTTGCTTTCAAAAACATTCTGAAAAGCTGTTCTTCCAACACTTGTGGTGAAACTTCACTTGGCTTTCTACCAGTGTAGATTTTACTAGGCGGAGAAGAGCTCACCCACGGTTCACTTGGCTTGAAGTGTTCGAGTAGCTACACAAGAAACAATTTAAGGTTCATAAGCCAAGTCTCAGCATTGAAGAGTTTACTCTCAAAACGCGATGGAAAGAGCAGTACACCTTGGGGTTTCTGGATATGAAATACATGTCCCCATCAAAGTCACCACCTGCAATCTCGTCTCCCAAAGATCTTGGACCTTTCTGTGGGAAGAACACAGCATACTTGGAGTTTCCTACATACTCCTCCAAGGCCTTGACATATGTAGCCTTAAGCACATGTATATCTCCAATATGTAATCCAGGGTTCCTGTAAACTAGCACATCCCCTGAAATTTGACCAGACTCGCTGCAAAACCACCAAAAAAAAAGAAAATACAAGTGCGGAAAATTAACAGCTAACTCACAATTCCAAGGAAGCAAATTACTGTTTCTTGATGTTTCCATGCAAAACTCAAAGTGAAAGAGCATACAGGATGACGCAGACTTCATCTTCTTTGAGCTTTCCGGTTGGATCAACTGTGCCCATGAGATAGTATGTTTCTGTCACAGGAAGCTTTCCTGCTTTGAGATCATTCTTCTTTGTCTTTAAGAGAATAGACAGATGATCCTTTAAGTGTGGCTCGTCAAGCGGGATACCAACCAATATCATTTGTGCAGCGTTCAGATCGTCCATATCTCCATAGTTAAGCGCAGCTGCACAGACAAATTGACATCTTAAGTTACTTAACTTAGCAGTTTCAGGGACATGATCAGAGAAAAAGTGCTAAAGAACGAGAGAGCTTTAGAATTCTAGGCACCTTTAACTGCAGCACGTTTGTTGTAGAATACAGTCTTTGACTTTTCCAAAGTCCTGAGCAATATATCGATAAAGAAGTCATTAGGGACTCCTCCATAGCTCAGCAGCGCGACCAGATTTCTTGATAGCTTCGTCTTTTTTGGTGGATTACTGGAAGGTGGAACCAAACCAGGGTTCATCAAATAAGAACATCTACAAGACAACAGAAATGCAAGAGACAGCTACCTTGTATTGACAACCTCCAGGGAGTCAAATGTGCTAAGTTTTGAGGAGGCTGGATCATTATACACCTTGATCATAGCAGGTCGAACCTGGACGGTCCGAGGAGGAAGCTGCCAAACAATGGCATGAAAAATTAGGATTAACTTGCAAAATTGATTATGTAGTGTGAAAGAGAGCAGACTTACTTTCTTGTTTGAGAGAAAAGTTCCTTTAACAGCATAACCATTATAAAACATCCGAAACTGTATCAGCAGAGGCTGTTAGAAAAAAAAAACAGAAATGTTACTACTTGTGTTGAGTGATAGGCATATACAGAATCGAGCTAAATACATGGACTGTAAATTACATACCGGCTCCTTTAGACAGGTTCCTTGTGCTTCGAAATTTCGAATCTTACTCTTCGAATTTAGAACAAATGAGGAAACAAACATGATGTGAGACCAGATTGAACAAAAAGAAACTAAGCGACCATAAAGTAGTCATAGAAGTAGATGTAAGACCTGAACATTGTCATTTCCAATACATTTCCCTTTAATAACATCTGTTGGACACATCCGAGCAAGGTCCTCAGAGAAGTAGCCAGTGCCGTCTGAATGTATACAAGGTTTCCCATTCTTATCAAGAACATCTTTATTATCTTGATCCTGTGAATTTGGAAGAGAGGCAGGAAGATCAAACAACTAAGTGAAGGCTACTTAGAGAGAGAGAGACACAGATCCTGAAGAAAACATGAAGCAAGGACGCACATGGCAGTGTATATCATCGATTTGCTGGAATGTAATCCCATTCATGTCAACTTCAAGCTTCTTAGTCTTTGACAGGATCAGAGAAAACCTGAAGCATCAACAAGAGAAAGGTGACTCTGATTGCAAAGGAAAACATCTCTAGAAACGTATCTTCATATGCTTCCAAATAGCGAGTTTTTTTGAAGAAAACAAGAGTACCTTGCCATGTACTTTGCCAAAGATGGCAATGTATTCACATGCATAAAATGCATACGAGCTTCGTGAATAGACTTCCCAGAGAAGATATAGGGCTTTCTCATATCATTTAAAGCTGTAGAGTCCGTGCGTATAAAGTAACATTTCACTCCCTTTGTATAAAAGTCTTTCCTTTTCTCTTCTTTCCCTCCATCTTTGAAAACTGTTTAAGAGAAAGGTAAACAAGCTACTTTATGCAGTCTTAAACATTAGTACCTAAACAGTGAAAAGTGTTTGCTTGTGCAATAGTATAAATGATGATAATCAAGAGAAAAAAGACCCACCAAAAAATTGGTAACGGCGTAAACCAATGATGATACCGTTCTTGGCAATCCCTTTATAGGTAGAGTAAATGTCATTACAATAGGTTGCCTCGCCTGGCACGTCCTCGAATGTGACGGTTAAAACATTATCATCACCCAAAACCTTGTGCAGGTGTGTTCCGGTGTTCTCCATAAGAGGTCCCTGTGAACATAGTCTATTGATAAGACAAAGAACATATGCAATACAGGAAGATGCAAACACGAAAGAGAGTGCTGGGATTGAAACCTTTAGTCTGTAACTACCATCAGGAGAAACATGACATTGATAGTAATGAGTCTTCCCGCTATCCCAATCAAGCGACTGTGAAAAAGAAGAAGAAGGAGAAGCAATCAGTACAAATCTGACAACAAAGTTTAAGTTCAAAAGAAGTTGCAGTATCCAATAGAACAGAACAGAGATCCTTCTTCATACCACTCTTCTTTGGTCTTTTTGAAAACATTTATTCCGGCTTAAGCGGTCCCAAACCGCTGCTTCGTATGCAACCATTGGCAAATCCTTCCATTGCATGATCTCATCAGCAGTTAGAACCTCAACCAGAGATTTCCTGTATAACACCAAAAAGACTATTATCACTAAAAACGATAACTTTCCAAAGAAATGTATAAAACTGATGGGGAAAAGGTAGAAAATTTGCAACCCAAAACACATTACTCTGGAATGTAGCTAAGTAACAGAAACGCCTTGTTAAACTCAAGTTCACCCAAAGCTACTAGCTGAGGAATCTGATTATAGACTCCATTGTCTTCTATTTTCAAAAGCTTAGGAGACGGAGACTCACAATCAAGAGACATCTCTGCTGCAATCAGCCACAGTCATAGTCAAAATCTAGTGCCATTTTTAAAGGGAAAAAAAAACAGAGCTTCCCTGAGACTGACCTTGAGAAAGCCTGCAACTTTTTTTCCCGGGAGTTCCAGGAGACTGTACCGGAGACTCGCCGGAGCTCGGCCGTGGAGAGCCGACAGAATTAACGAAATATATGATGTACCCATCGAGGGTTCCTTTCACATACTTGGAATTGTAAACTTTACTGAGCGTATCCAAAGCAAGTTCCTCAGAAACCGAAGAAAGTCTCCGCCTTGTCTCCACTTTTATCGGAGGGTGATTGTGTTTCTCGTAGATTTTCTC